AGGGTTGCGCGCGCATGGGACAAATCGCACTCTCGCCTGCATTTCGCACACTCGACACGCGCGATCTCCGCAGAGGGTTGTGCGTCAAGTCTCCAAAACGAGCGTTTCGTACGAGACTTCCTCAAAAACTCACACGTCAAAGTCTGCAAAAAGAGCGTTTCGTACGAGACTTCCTCCAAAAGTCAAGCGGAAACACCCATCGGAGCACACACATCACGCAGCCCTGCCAAGCAGTTTCGCGATTCCAGCCCCTCCAAACAACATCCGCTCACACGCCAATCCCAATGTGACAGCGACATTCACCTCTACCACAACTCACAACCTCACGATTCCCTGCGCCTGCCACGAATCTTTCCCCATCCACACGTCTAACGCGCACAAAGTACTGCGCCTGCCACGAAATGTCACCTCCCTCACACCTCGCAACCTCACGATTCCCTGTGCCTGCCACGAGAATCGCACTTCCACGCGTCAAAACCCGCACGAAGCCCTGCGCCTGCCACGAAAAGTCACAATATCATCGCGTGTGAGCTTCAACAAAATTTGCACCACACCACACGTTTGGAATGATTTCGACCCGTTCAGAGCACACTCCCATCCACCAAAATCGCCATTTCAGCTGAGACTTGTCACGAAAACCGAGCTTCGATGCCACACCCTGAAACGCAAATCCCAATGGCACGGCCACATCCAACACCCCAAAAGCACGACTCTCCAAACGCTAATCCCAATGGAACTGTGCAGCAATCTGCGGATCCCACAAAACGCTGCGCCTGTGCAGCGAAATGCATCACGTTTCTTGCGCGACATGTCGGTGTCATGCAAATCACAAAGGAATAGCGGCGCAAACTGACACGTGACACATCCATGAAAAGTCACTTGCAAAAGCTTCCCCCAATGGCAGCAAATTTGAGACGCGACGACGACGACGACAAACGACGACAAACGACGACAGACGACGAGAGACGACGAGAGACGACGACACGACGCAAGCCATGCAAACACAGCTCCAACCCCCAGACCCCCAACTATAAACGGGAACCCTTCGCTACGCATTCGGGAAAAACAACAAAATCTAATAGTCTTTTTGGTGTCTTGAGGTTAGCAGATATATACTTGGTACAAGGATGTCGCCCCACAAATACTTGGCCACAATCGAAAATGTGAAGATAGGCCATCCAGGTTCTTGCGCCCAGGTGCCCATCAAAGATGCCACCAAAGTCCGTAAGGCCCGGAAGAGACGCACCACACGGACGATGCGCAAAACGCGCGCCAGACGGCCAATGCCTCGGCGGAAATGAGCCTGATGATCACTTGGACTCCCAAGAAGTAGAAAAAGCTACGGCTATTGTGTCGGGTAACGGTGTGCAAATGTTTGTGAAATAGTCCTTCAGCACCTTTAGTTTCAAGTATGTTCAACCGGATGTCGCGTAACCACCTGTCAGTGCAAGCCAATGAAGAGGATCGATCAACCGACCAAAAAGTCCGTCAGTGAAACATCCTGCTAAGCAGAATTCCCAGGCGCGCAAAACCCTGACAATCCGAAGATTCGTATTAGTGCTCCTTGCCTCTCCACTGGCAAATTCCACAGCCATCTCCACCCATGAGGAGATCACCACAAACAAGTCCAAGATATTCCAATGCCAGTTAGGCCCCCAAATGTATCGGAAGAAAGTGCCGGCACCAACCATCCGCAGCAGGGCCTTTGCAATGATAGGACTGCAATTCAAGACCAAAAGTATGTCAACGTGACAACAACGGGAACTGAAGTTTCTGCACTCCCAGAAAGTAGCGTAGAAGCCACCGCACTCACCAGAAAAGGTTAGATAAGTTGTCCTGGACATTCTTTTTGGGGGGCCCTGCTCTTGAATCTTGCAGCTGGCAACCCTGGAGTCTTACAAGCTAAAATGCATCATGCCAAGATGCCTCAATGGTAAACATGATTGCGTAGATCAAGTGGATCTGAAAGAAGACTGGGTTCTGGGACAATTCGAAATTCTGAGCGGTGATTTCCAAGTGCACCCCCAAATAGATGGAGTTGGTGAGGATGAGAAGGGTGAAGAATGTGTTGGCCGCACCAGAGTCCATGATCATGGCCACCTTCTGCTGCACTTTCTGGCACCTTGGCCGGGCCGACAGGCCGCCGCTACCTCGGAAGGCTTGGTTGACGATACGATCAAAGGCGTCGGTGACATTTCGATCAGCGATCTCGGCCAGCGCGTAGCTATCCATCCTCCCAAAGCGATTTGCTTCCTGATAGGACCTGGACCGTTCTGGGTCTTGGATCTCCTCTGCATTGCTTGCAGGGACTGGCGTCTCATCAGCCCGATCATATGAATCTTTGAGGGAACTGGGACCCGTAGTGACTGCCAATGACGTTGTGGCAACAAGTCTTTCGTTCAGACTTCGTGGGTCCGCCATCAAGGACTCTTCAAGGCGCCACATCCAATCCTGCACCCAAAATGGGTTAGTCAATCTGTTGATCTCTCTCTCTCTCTGTCGGCAGAGACGTTGAACTCTTTTGGTGTGAAGTGGCTGAAATCCGCTTCGAAATATATGCTACAAACTACAAACCCTGTCGCGTAAATCCGTGATATTCCGCTTCGCAACCATGTAAAAATAGCTACAGCACCGCTCGAGGACAAGTCCCCAACCACTAGGAATGATTCGTGAGAGTTCAAGGGAAAGGGATAGTCGAGATAAAAAGATGATGCTTGGACAAGTCATGAGCCTGAGCCAAATATATATATATATACATATATATATATACATATATATATATGTGTGTGTGGAAAGTGCAGCAAAGTGAGCAAACTCTGCTTGTACAAATCATGCAATCAAGCCAACAGCAGTGTCAGGCTATATATGGTATTGTGTTTCTACCGTGGAAAAAGCAAACTTGAAATCCTCCAAGTAGGCCATCATCTCCATTCGGCGGTTCTGCAACAGCTGCCTTGTGGCATCTTCTTCCATGCCACCCCCTACACTTTGATTGAAAATCTACTGAGACTGAAAACCACTGATGCTTGATCCGGATGCTGTGGCGCGCGTGGCACTCAATCAAACGCAGCGCCCCCCAGCGCCATCTTTCAGTGGCTCCGAAGGCCTGTTACTACAAGGCCTGAGCTATACAAGTTACAAAACATGATTGCAAAACTTGACTGCACGCGCGGGCTTGCAGAGCGTGCCTTGCCAAAACCCTGACGAGCACACGCAACTCCCGGAGCAAACCAAGCCTGGAAGTACGAACAGGCTGTATACTCGTGGTGTACAGTAAGTGTAGTCAATCGCTCTGCTCCAAGTTGAACAGCAAAGCTACGATGAACTGCTTCTCCACACTTTTGCGATCAATCAACTGCTGGCGTCTGCTTTCAAAGCTGCTTTAAGCGTCCTGCCTGCCCGAGGGCACGCCGGCAAAGGGTACCACCAGCAAGAGTTAGTGGTTGCCCTGCGGTTATCTCAGAACAAACTGGACGATGCCGTTCTGTGGTTGCAAATGATAAACCACAGACATCCACAGACATTGAGTTTTTCGAGAGGGGAAGTTGCTCTTTTTCCCCCTTTCGCTTGACTGGGTTCTTGACATCGAAGGGACTGCCACCGAAAACATGGATTTCACGCCTTGAAATGTGCTTTGCTTTTCGACTCCATTTAGGGAGATCGATCGCCAATGTTTGTCACAACCATAATGGAAACCCGTTCCTTCAGCAAACTGTTGCTGCGGATCTTCGTGTCTTCAAGAAACTGTTCAAGGCATGGAGAGATGAGCTGGGATTCCTTTTTGATGATGGCACTGTTGGATTGGTTCATTGCGGTGTCCATGCGAAGCAGAGTGCTGTTTGGTTTCCTTGGAGCTTAGATCTTTGATCTTCGACGAACGATGCCATCACGCGATTTGTTGGTTCCAGGCCTATCAATAGCAACCAGGCTCTGAGCAAACCCCGGAAGAGTTGAGACCTCTGGGAAACCCTTGGGGGTGCGTTTCACTGACATGCTACAAAGAAACTTCTACATATCTTCTTGAATAGTATGCTTGCTGTATTCCTGAGCTGGTCCTCATCCAGGTCACACACAACAATGAGCCAGTATATAAGTAAAGCGACCAAATCACGGACATGTTGCCTATCACTCTCAGCCATTCGGACATGTTGAGTGAAGCCTTCTGCCGTCAGCTAAGGCAATGGCCTGCATCCATCAGGGTGCATGTGCTTCTGGCTTGGCATTTGGCCTGAGGTATGAATGCCGGGCCCTGTTGAGGCGGGGTAACGCCGCAGACCATGTGACGTCGAAAGTGATATTACGCAGACCATATGATGTGCTGAATGGTTCTACTGCTGAGTGACGTTTTGCCCTGACAGGGTTGTTTGCAGCTTTGCAGTTCACTGCAAGTGTCCACAAGAACTGGGAGACAGCAAACCACACCTTGGACAAAAAGCCAACATGTGGCCAGCTCTTTCATGCTAAATCCACTGTTTTTGTGTCCGCATGCTCGCAACTTCGGAATTGGATGACCTGCTTTGCAGGTAAACTGGCGGGGGTTGCGCACCCACGCACCCAAAACGTTAAAGCGGTGTGAAACGAGTTTTCTCCCTCCATCGTTGGCACCTCATGGTGCACCAGGGATGTTCGCCGAAGTTGGATCGCAAGGTTCTGCGAAGGGCACTGTTGGCCACGTCGACGGATTTGAAGATTTACACGTGAGAAAAAACACAAACTCTTTCGCTCGGGCTCCGACTACAGTTACAGTATGTTACAGTTATAGCTCTGCCTCCTTCACAGGTTCTGTGAGATACCCGACACTGCTCATGGTGCGCAGGAGCTCGTTGAAGCGCTGGTGGAGTTGCAGCTGTCGACCTTCAACCTTGATCAAATAGTCCGCCAGCTTGTCCTCGGCCAAGATTAGGGGCGCGGAGCATTAGGAACACGGAACAGTATATAAACATGTCGAAACAAACACACCCTCCCTCCCTCCCTCTCTCTCTCTCTCTCTCTCCCTCGCTGTACTGCATGTTCAGCGATTTCTTCGCTGAGGCTCTTCGTCCATCAGGGTAGACAGGGTTTTGTTCCGGCTTTGATGTGATTTGGCTAGCTTGGCTGCTGGTTCAGGCTTTGCTTGGTCGGTGAAGCTTTGGTGAAAAAAACCTGGAGGGGGCCCCCTAAGCCAACCAACGGATGGCGCCTCACCTGCGCACACAAAATTCGCCTCACCTGCGCACACAGGTTTTTTTATATATTTAATTCACCTGCGCACACAGGATTCGCCTCAGCTGCGCACACATCGATTACATTCTTCTTTAAACACCCCATGCTACCTCAAACTCAGCTGCGCACACAAGATTCGCCTCACCTGCGCACACACAATCTACATGATGATCTCTTTTTGCTCATTGCTTCCACAGTACCACGTCACACAGATGCTCTGCGTTTGATTGATGATGTTGGGTTGGGATGGAGTGGTGGGGGGGGGTGTTAATAACGTCCCTCTGGACATTCATTTCATTTCACTTCAGTTCATTTCATTCATTCATTCGTTCATTCATTCATTTTCACATATTCCTTCAGTCCCTCATTCATCCACTCATTCATTCATTCATTCATTCCTTCCTTCCTTCCTTCACTCATTCATTCATTCGTTCATTCAGCCAAGCAAGCCGCGTGCACAGCCGAGCAAGCCGCGTGCAAATCCGAGTAGCGCGCGCACAACCGAGGTAATCTATGCGCGTGTACAGGCGAGGCAAATTCCGCGTGTACAGCCGAGGCTCCGCCCCCAACCAACCATCTTATGCTTATGCGTCGCAGACATCGGAAAACCAGAAACCGGGAACCACCAGAGCAGCAAACACAAAAAATGAAAAACACCTACTAGAAGAAATAGCCCCCTCTCAACAGAAATCATCTGGCGTGAAACCAAGTGGCAGTGTTCTGACGTAGTGCAAATATATCAGCAGATCTTGCTGGACCATGCAGCTGCAGGCATCTCTCCTTGGATGTGATCCGTCTTGCGAGGTTCCGGCATGGGCCGTCTGGCCAGGCTGCGTTGGTCTCGCGGACGTCGGTGAGTTGGGGGTATTCTTAAGGGTTCTTGTGCGCCAACAGCAACTTGCTCTCAATCTTCCACCACAAGCTCAAAAAAAATGACGGAAAAAGGCCAATGGTGCTATAGCATTCTTGACGAACTGCTCAACTTTTTCTATGGAAAGAACAAGTAAGCCTATCCCAACCGTTAATTTGAGGGGTTTCGTGTGTATCACTACGGTCATCAACGAGTTCGTCCAAGTTGCGGTAAATTCATCGACGCTAATCGTGTGGTCACCATCGACATCCAAGCTCAAGAACAGGGTCCATGCATCCATGGCACCAATCTCCAAGGATTCAAAGAAAGCAATCACCACGTCGTCACTGAAGTGCTGTTCAAAATCATCGATGGTCACCTGCAGTAGAAGCTGTTCTTCATGCAGCATCAAGTGTGTGTGTGTGTGTGCTTTTGATGCTTCAAGGGCTTTAGCCATTTTTCCCCAAGCAGTGTACTGTTGGGGTTCTATCTTAGGAAAAAGAGCTGGCCACACTCACTGGCTGCGCCCCTGAACTCTGTGGCTGGGCTCTGTGGCTGGGCTCTGTGTCCAGGCCTTGTCCTCCTCTTGTCCTCTGTGGCTGGGCTCTGTGCCCGGGCCTTGTCCTCCTCTTGTCCTCCGTGGCTGGGCTGCGTGTCCAGGCCTTGTCCTCCTCTTGCCCTCTGTGGCTGGGCTCGTGTCCAGGCCTTGTCCTCCGCTTGTCCTCTGTGGCTGGGCTCTGTGCCCTTGTCCTCCTCTTGTCCTCTGTGGCTGGGCTGTGTCCAGGCCTTGTCCTCCTCTTGTCCTCTGTGGCTGGGCTCTTCTTGTCCTCCTCCTCTGGCTGGGCTGTGTGCCCGGGTCTTGTCCTCCTCTTGTCCTTGTCTTGGCCGTGCCCCTCAACTCTGTGGCTTGTTTCTGTGGCCCGGTTTAGTGGAGAGGAGTGTGGCCGAACAAATTGCGATGTCAACGCCGACAAAAATTCATTGATGAAACAGTTTGCTCTTGGGGTGAAGGTAAGAAAGCTTTTTTGGACTAACATTGGTCTAAAAGAATCGTTTTGAAGCTGCTTGGGGTCTATGCTGGTGTAATCCTAGAATATTCTTCCCCATACAGTTTACTGTTGGGGTTCTATCTTAGAAACAAAGAGCTGGCCAAATTCATTGGCCGCGCCCCTGAACTCTGTGGCTGGGCTCTGCCTTGTCCTCCTCTTGTCCTCTGTGGCTGGGCTCTTGTTCTGTGTCCTCTGTGGCTGGGCTCTGTGTCCAGGCCTTGTCCTCCTCTTGTCCTTTGTGGGCGGGCTCTCTACCTGGGCTCTGCGCCAAGGCCTTGTCCTCCTCTTGTCCTCTGTGTGGCTGGGGTCTGGGCCTTGTCCTCCTCGTGTCCTCTTCTTGTCCGGGTCTTGTCCTTGTCTTGACAGCGCCCCTGAACTCTGTGGCTCGTCTCTGCGGCCCGGCTTTCTGGAGAGGAGTGTGGCCGGTCAACGCCGACAAAAATTCATTGATGAAGCAATTTGCTCTTGGGGTGAAGGTCGGGTGTACCAAGAAAGCATTTTTTGACTAACATTGGTCTAAACGAATCGTTTTGAAGCTGCTTGGGGTCTATGCTGGTATAATCCTAGAACATTCTTCCCTAAACAGTTTACTGTTGGGGTTCTATCTTTGTAAAAAGAGCTGGCCACACTCACTCGCCGCGCCCCTGAACTCTGTGGCTGGGCTCTGTGGCTCGGCTCTGTGTCCAGGCCTTGTCCTCTTGTCCTCACCTCTGTTCTGTGTCCTCTGTGCCTGGGCTCTGTGTCCAGGCCTTGTCCTCCTCTTGTCCTCTGTGGCTGGGCTCTGTGTCCAAGCCTTGTCCTCCTCTTGTCCTCTGTGGCTGGGCCTTGTCCTCTTCTTGTCCTCCTCCTCTGTGGCTGGGCTCTGTGTCCGGGTCTTGTCCTCCTCTTGTCCTTGTCTTGGCCCCGCCCCTGAACTCCGTGGCTCGTCTCTGTGGCCCGGTTTACTGGAGAGGAGTGTGACCGAACAAATAGCGATGTCAACGCCGACAAAAAGTCACTGATGAAACAGTTTGCTCTTGGGGTGAAGGTAGGGCGTACCAAGAAAGCTTTTTTTGACTAATATTGGTCTAAACGAATCGTTTTGAAACTGTTTGGGGTCTACGCTGGTATAACTATATACAGCCGCGAGCCCGCGCGGTCTCATGTCTGCGTTGTCAGCCTGTCCAACTCCACGCTGGTCAATCTTGTGGAAGAGGGTCGCCACTTGCTCCCCTTAGCCAAGTCGGAACACGCCAAATGGTGAGATTTTGTCACAAACATTCATTAGCAATGAGCCCTGCTGACTTTGTAGTCCTGTAGTCCCAAGTTCTTTTACGTTGCACCCCGTGCTCCAATCAAGGGCTGAGAACAGCATGGGTCACTCAAAGCTAGCCCTGCCTCTACCTGGGGTCTTAAGTCTGTGCTTCCAATACGGGGGCACCGGGTTCGGAGGGCACGGAATCGTCACCGAGTCTCGCAGCTCTTGCCGCGTTTGCACCAATGAAAGGACCAGCATGTCATGGTCACGCTCTGCAGCTTTGATGGCAGCATTGCAAAAGGTTCCTGTCCAGGGGCTCCGATTGATACTACGACTAAGGATACTAAGGTCAGACGTCTGGACATGGAACACCATCCAGCGAACCCACCATGTCGGTCCTGTCATCACATTCAACACCGCAAAACCTCCCAGCGATCGCGCAAACGATGCTGGCAAAAATGTTTGGCGCCCGCGAAAGTACCACGGATATTGAAGAACACAAGAGTTTTGCGCCCTCCGTTGACGAGAGCTGCTTCCATGAACTGTTCAGGGGCTACAATGCTACAAGTACCCATCGTTGCTCATACTTGGCCTATTTCCCTTCAGTATGGATCCGTTTCTGGGAGGCAGCAAACACTGTTCTGGATGTCTGGGTGCAGGGATTCGCGTTCTATCAAGAATGTTTTGTCTCAAGAGTTGTTGGGCAGGGTCATACCCGAGCCAAGACACTGCAAAATGCCACGTAGAAGTGGAAGAGCGAACACCAGAACATGCCGTGGTCCATTCCTCCGATTGCGTCACTGACACTTGTTCTTCTTTCCACTTTGGAGTCGATAACCCCTATTGATAGGCCTTGGGCCCTCGAGGTTGTAAAAGAAATGCGCAAGCATTTCCAAACAAACACAAACACACAAAAATAGACACGAAAAAATATTGAAAAATGAAATCAAACGAGACTCTTGCTAAGGCATCAGCTGCCTCCCCCCAGGTCAAGCCATTTGAGATGGCACGGAAGAGCGTCTCGATGGATAAGTACAGACTTCCAAAACGCAGGGACAAGTCGCTTCCAGCGTCAGTGAAGCCAAGAGAGTTCCGATGATCCAAAACTGCGTCCGTGAACATTATGCCGAACATATACCTCGAAAAACAAAAAGAGGGGCCGGTGTGGTTTCAACTCCACATGGGGCCAACTGGCACCGGGCCCCAAAGCCTCAAAAGGCCTCAAGGCCGTAGCCCGAAGCACCCCTCCAGTCCAAAAACTTTGAAGCGGCAACAACCAGCCCCAAAAAGCAACACAACAAAACGCGCCAACCTTCAAGCAGTGCGGCCTTCTTATCATCTTGAGCCAAAAGTACAGTAGCAAATGAAGCATGTTCACCTTTACGGCCTTTATGAAAGGGGTGCTATACACAGCAGCTTAGATTTCCAGGTTAGGAGACAACTGGCTCTTTGTGAACCATCTGTGACCCGACGATTTAAATTCTCAACGCGAACGAACGTCAGGCAGAGGCGCTGACGCAGCCAAACATACCCTGGCTTGCATGCATATGGATATCCTTTCATTCGAGAAATTCGAGCAGTCCTAAAGGCTAAGCTTAAGTTCTGCAAGTTCTCATCGATGAGGCATCTTAGACGACTAGATCCTTACTTGGCCTAAACGAAGGCAGGGGCTTCGTGGCATACTGCAACAGTTTCAAAAGCAGCAGGCCAGTATCTATGTGACCAATGTCGTTGTATTCTGAGCTGTTGACCACTTCACAGGTTGACGCAGCATTCACCCTGTGCGTCTTTGCAAGGTGACAAAGCTTAGCAGAGTTATGGCAGTCGCAGCGGAGTTGTCATCAAAAAATTGCTAACCTGATTGATGGAATCAACATCTGCCAAACATGAAGAGTTATGGGAGTGCTTCAGAAAACAACGATGATGACAGGGACACGAATTCAGATTCAGTCGTGGACCGTGACGCAACACTCTGTCTTTTTACTTCCCCAGCTTAGGAAGGCGAAGCTTGAAGGACCACTCAGAGCCTGACATGGACCTCATGGTTTGAACGTCTCCTGCAAAATCTGCGCCACAGGATAATGCAACGCTTAGCGTTTCGGGAGGGTCCTGAATTGACATCATGGGCGCATACTCATGAGTGAGCTGCAGGTAACCTATCAAGCGAGCAGTTCTCCGGTCGTCGTTAACAGACCATGTGGTGATATGCTTTGCAAGAAGGTCAATGATGAACGTCAGGCCAGGAATTCCTACGCAACGCCAGCTTAGCGGCATGAGGTGCAAGTTGTCCACGGGGTTCATCATCGGATGCAATGAGCGAGCCTTCAGCCCAAACAAGGAGGCGCATAACTCTTGATTGGCTTATTCGCAAATTCGCTGTAGAGTTGGACACTCTGCTTGGCAAAGTCCGCTGGTTCTAAAGCGAGGGCTTCTTTGCCATCCACCCACACAAGACGGTGGTTCCTACCCAATACCCCACCGAACTCAGTTGGAGGACCAAGGTTGACGTATTCGCTTTCCGTACGCCAGAACTCACCGGTCTGGGAAGATGGCACTTTAGTCCCCCCTGATCCCCTACTGCGTCACCCCTGAAAACAACTCGAGCTTTGGACCTTCCATTCAGAAGGACCTTTCTCAAACCCTTTTACGCTTACGATTATACCATGAGCGCTCCAAAATACAACGTCTCATTTGGAAACTCCTTGATCACATCGGCTTTCGAGCGAATCTCTTCTTCCAACCATGTACCCTCGAGCAACAGACCGTTCTTTTCGTTGCCAATTGCTTCGAAGACTTCTGGACGACCTTCCCACTCTTCCCTGTCAAGCAATTTGTGCGTGAATGCAGGTGTGAAAAAATCCTTGAGACCGCTGTCAAAAATCATGACACCAATGGGAACGCACGGCGTGCCTTTCACAACATGTTGGTGATGCTCGTGGTTCACACGAGGCGCACATGGCACGACCGGAACCTGGCTGTTGTTCACATGTGGAAAGCGAGCACTAAGCATCAATTTGCACAAGGGTCAGGTGAAAAGGCTGAGTTCCTAGCTCCTAGTATACTTCCCTCCAAGAGGAGCATCATGAGTGCCCGTCAAAGGTGGCTGAGAACAGCTGTCGTTAGTGGGTCAAGTCCCAGCTTGACGGGCCCAACAGGACCAACGGCCTGCGCCCGCCCTGACGGGACTGACGGACCGCCGGGCCTGACGCGCCTGACTGCATGGATCACCGTAACTCTACCTCCTGCCAGGCTTTTCTTCACACCATCCATCACACAACGTATTGCCACGAAGAAGGGTGGCAAGGTTCGCCTTGTGAAACATCTCCGTCTCCCAAACATTTCGTTCACAACGTCTCGACTCCACATAAATGGGTTCCGCCGCTACTGGGTACATATCCTCAATTGTATGCATTCACAAGCTCAATATATGAAAAAAAGAAAATATGTATCGAAAGATTTTTATAGATATGTCATATGCCATGACACTGACCTTTGATGTTGCTGTTTTTGCTGTTAGATTGATCGTCGACAAGATGCCTCTGTGTGAAAATCAAAAAAGATCACCTCGCCAAGTTCTCAAGCCATGTCGCGTGGCCACGCATTTAAATTTACAAAATATTGGGACCTTCCCAAACCTCTGCAAGAAGGAAATAGACTAAAACCCATTGGTTCGATGTCTGCCTATTCAAGTAAGTCACACACCTGTGCTCACATCCAACATGGTCAGTGTTACGCAAGCAGGTATGGGTTGAACACGGCCCAAATACCATTAGAGGGCAACAATCAACCCGGTTCTTCTTCATCATTTTCAATGTTGGTGCAGCCTTTACATTGCGAGGAAGAGCTAGTTAAAACTCGGATGTGACGCGCGGCGGTCCACCCGGTTCACGCGGACGGCGGGGCGCCCCATCCGGTTCGGCCGGACGACGCGACCCCTCCGCTCTTTCCGTTGTCTTTTCCCGCCGCTGCTGCGCTCTTTCACCGCAGACAGCGCACGGCGACGACGCGAGCGTCCCCGCTCTTCTCGCGATCGACGTCTGCAGGACCGATCTCTCGTCTTGCGTGCTTCTTTCTCTCGACTCCTGCGTCGCTTGTGTTCCACCGCAGGCTCCACTCGCCACTCAAGGTTCCAGCCAAAGCTTGTTTGGTGATTCCGGCTCTACCAGCGGACTGAGAGCCCTCTTCAGGGCCCTCTTGAGATTCCTCAGCGCGCTCAAAAAGACTATATATTTATTGCATTATTACTGAAAACTATCATATATATATATATATATGCATGGAAGCTCCATGGTGAGTGGCCCCGCTCCATCAGTCCCCCCCACCACGCAGGTGGGGGCTCCGTGACGCAGGCGGGGGCTCCATGAGTGTCCCCTCGCGCAGGTGGAGGCTCCGTGAGTGTCCCCCACCATGCAGGCGTCATTCTCATCTCGGCGTCCCCTTGCTCATTTCGCAAGTTTGCGGGGGCCGCAAAGCCAACGCATTTTTGAGCGTCTCCACCTTGGAGGGCAAATGCGTTTTGTAAGCAGAGCATCAGGTTGGCAACTCGGAGCCACAAAACACCCGCGGCACCAGGCTTTCTAATCTGGAAGCCAACAGATCCACTTGCCCAGAACTCTCTGGTGATCTCAATGTTGTCGTCACAAATGAGCAACACTTCCACTGGTCAATGCGCGCAACGAAGGACGCTTTCCTCCCTCACCACAACCACGGTCAGTCAGAATGACATACTTGACCTTCAGCTCCGACTGCTCAACCTGCGTAAGCAAGTTCCGCAAGTTGACCTCAGACCTCTCAATGTGGGAACACTCCACAAGGTCAACAATGCCACCGAACCGGCTGGACAAATCGTGGAGCTCCCCGATGGTCCTTATATGCCTAGGTGGCAATCCAGTCTCACTGTGAGGTCTTGCGGTACCTCGATTCCCTGTCGACGTCCAAAACTTGATGGAAGTCGAAGGCGAAGACGTGCTGACCAAGCCGTGGGATGTTGTTGAGCTGGACCCTTCGCAATCTGTTTTCAATAAAATTTGTACGCCTGAAAACCGGGGTGGAACAATGCAAGACGGGTCCGCGTTAAAAACTCTAACTCGTTCTTCAATGACGATCTCGTCCTCCACAACAATCACCTCTGGATTTGGTGATGGCAAGTGCTTTGCAGACGAACCTCCCTGGGCTGGAACGGCGGGAGCAGCACTGGTGCACCTGATGGCAAAAATGGAGGAACTTTTGCGACAACGGCTGGATGGTGGAGGCGGTTGGGAAGGTGAGCAAACCTTGCTGGGGCGACATCAACTGCCGGTCGAATAGCCACTGCTGGATTTGCTGGACGAAAAACCACTGGGATGCTGGCTTGAGAACAACTGCTGGCCTTTAAGTGCCCTGGATGATACGCACCCGCAACTGCAACCGATGTTGGCTTGGCGGAAAATGTCCTGAGCGCTGATGCAAGCCTTGCTTTTGCAATTGGATCGCCTGGCCTTGAGGCAGAACTCTCTGGGCCGAACCCTCAGCAGAATCAACTGTGGCTGAACCATCAACAACTGCAGCTGAACCCTCAGCAGAAACAATTGTCACCTGATGCAACCGGGGCTGAACTCTCAACAGTCTCGACCAAGGCTAACCCCTCAGCAGGCTCAACACTGGCTGAGCTCTCAGACTCTCAGCAAATGCACCTGGACGACCGCGATCCTCGTGACGAGCCTGAGGAACGCTTCGATCGTCATCGCAGCATCCGTGGAGGACAGGCTGTGAAAAGAAGGCGTGAAGCCTACATTTGGAACGCCGCAGCTGACTGGGACGTCCCGGAAGAGTCCGTGCCGGTATACCACACTGGTGGTCACTCCCGTCACCTGAACACCTCTAAATTTTGGGAACCTGGGCATTCGAGAGACTGCGCTTACCCAAAGCGCGTCCGCTCAGTCGCGTTCCTGAAGTTGGCACACCGGGCTCCAGCCGCACTTGTACTCACGCCCTCCCGAGCCCTCGCATCCGCGACCCGTCTTGCACCCTTGACCCTTGGAGAAACCAGAATCGAGAGGTGTATCAGCGGGGCGAAGCAGTTGAGGAGATTGAGGAAGTTCCAGTTGCAAAAGGGGAACCACCCACAATCAGAACCCTACGGCTAATATCCACTTGAAGTGACAACAACCAACCCCAAAAAGCAACACAACAAGACGCACCAACCCTCGAGAAGTGCGGCCTTCTTTTCATCTTGAGCCAAAAGTACAATAGCAAATGAAGCATGTTCACCTTTAAGGCCTTGATGGAAAGGGTGCTATACACAGCAGAACTTTCAAGTAAAAAAGGTCTCTTTGGCAGTTCAAGCCTATTGCTTTGCTGTGTGGGCACCCCTCACCACTCCCGCACACAAAACAGGTCAAAAAGGTTCAAAAAATGTGCCCACAACTGACTCTCGTTAAGCACAACTGCATAATGAGCGCCAGGAGCAAGAGGGACCAAAACAACGACTTCAAGGTCCCTACTAGGGAGTTGATCAACGTTCGCAGGGATCGGAAGAGGCGGGCCACTCGCACCACCCGAACCACACGCACCAATCGGCCGAAGCGAAGGAGCCGGAGCATACGAAGGTTGCGGTTTCCGCTGATGGATGAATTCCCTTCAAGACTGTGCAGAAGAAGCTCCACCCAGGAAGACACAACCACAAACAAGTCCAAACAATTCCAGGCCCAGTCATGGGATGACCAAATAAACATACTGCACCCGCTGCCTAAAAGCCTCAGCATGACTTCCATGGTGAATAGCACGGCATAGACCACATTCAAAGCCTCTCTGCTCGAGTCAACCCGACAATTGTCAACAGGCAACAGGTAAACCTGGTTTTTTGATGACGTGACCTACTCCTTTGTGGTGGGCAATGAACGGCCTGGCACAAACAATAGAACATGACAATTAAATGCTAAGACATGTCCCTCAAAAGCCATACTTTGTCGTGGCACAGGGGACAAATAACAAACAGATCGGTTTCTGGGCCGAGGGACCAAAAAGAACGTGTCTTCAACGAAAATGTTCTCAGACGCTGCCTGCATCTCCAACTGGACTCCAAGAAAAATGCTGTTCGTGACAATCCTCAGCAAGACATTTTTCTCAGCCGCTCTTCAAGCGTCAACCCAAGTCCTGTCTCCCCCACTTAGCTGTGAACTTTACATGGAAAATACGGGAAAATCTGCGCTGACAAGATGAGCCTTCCACATTCTCTCTCTCTCTCTCTCTCTCTCGATGTTTGGGACCTCCAAGGATCAACCCTGCGAAGAAAAGGCTTGCCGGCATTGACCCCATCAACTCTCGTGACCATTGGCGCAGGCTCTGCCAAAGACTGGTGTCCTTGATAGCATCTCGCTCATCCTCATTGAACTTCCCAAGCCCTTGGGTAGCTTCAACCACCTGGACATGGGTTAACCTGGCCTCGTCATAGCTTTTGTTCTTGTGATGCATCAGGCTCGGCTCTGGCAAAGCTTCGTCGCAAAGCTTCGACTGCCCGCTCCTCTTGGAGACCAAGAACCGAGGGGCAGAGGGTGCTGCGACCCTGTCGGCCCAGGTCTCCAACTTGACCAAAAGCTCCTGTGGCAAAAAAGATCAAGCGGCCTATCTATCTATCTATCTATCTATCTATCTCTGGTCTATCTCTCCCTAGCTGTGCCTTCATCCGCTGACAAATAGAAACAACATGCCTGGATATGCCTGGTGTCAGGGAGTCACCTGCAAAGTCAGATTCATTAGGGCCCTTGTGAGAGTGTCCCGATCAGCTTGTCGCAACTATGCACATGAGGCTGACGATGTGTTCAAGAACATTGACCTGATTCAGTTGCCTCACCTGTGGGTAGCTTCGTCAACGAGCTAGCAGCAACAGGTCTACTGCGCAAGGCCAAGGATTCTACAGCTACTGACCCTTCAGCGAGATCTTCTCACCTCAATCCCACAAGTCCATCAAGCAGGAAACACGCCCAAGCAGGACTCGGAGGACTTACTTCTGCGAAGTGCCATCCACATGTTGAACGCCTTTCGCTTAGCACAACTACCCCGACCAACTGATTGATGTTTTATCATCAATATGGTCCTCCATTCCCCTGCCGAAGCGAGGCCAAAAAGGCCAAACCCGCCCCCTTCGACTGACCAGGCTGACCGAAGAGGTATTCAATGTATTCATTCCGCATGTGTCCTGCTTTCGGCTGTGCCCATTTTCCCTCGCAAAACAACAACGCCCGGCCCCTTGATGGAGGGGCCGTAGTGGTTCGTTCGTGCCTTCGTTCGTCTGTCCTCACTTGATGGAGGGGCCGGGCTCGCTCATCCAATTCATACTGTGTGTGTGTTCGCTGTTCTTTTTGTAGGTCTGCCGGGTGTTATATGAGGGAGTCATACACTTGGTTGATATAGAATTTGCAAGTGGATAGTCAGAACTTGTTGGATTGTCATGTCGACACTACTGCTCCAGCGAAAGCGGGGACAAGCTATGGCTTTAAACCAGAAACAATGACCATCTGAGTATGCTCAGCCAAGCTCCTGCTGGTGCTGTTCCAATATCCTCTCCATACTCTGGATGATCCTGAACTCATCACTTTCTGAAGTCTCCCAATCTACCTTTGCCATGGCGCCCCCAGCTAGTCGCGAGCCTTTGGGAATGAAGCCTGTACAGGTGCTGAGCCTGTGGACACAAGTCCGGTCCCTTGCATGAATGCTGCCGATTCTGTGCAACCGCCAATGCCATCACAATTGTCCCGATCTGTATCTGCATACGGCACTACTCTATGTGTTTGCCTGCACCGTTTGCATTTGTGCTGGCCGCATCTTCATGACTCCCCTCCCTGAATCCCCCTGTCTCTTCGTGGCCCGCCTGCGCGCACCCGATTCTCCCAAGACTGCACTTAGATGAACTGGTCTCTAGCTAGTGCGGCTCGTCACCACCCCCTCCACGCCCTCAATCTGGGCGCCAAGCTTTCCTCTGAATTGAAGCTCCTAGGAGTGCGAAAAGACATGAGGCACCGAAGTCGGCTCAAACGAGTCTGAACCCGTATGAAACATAGAACAACGGCCTACAAAGAGCCGTCAAAACATATGTGCCCGTTATGGCGCTTCTCGGAACTGCTAACTGCACATCAAAGGCCGACTCAAGCTCCTTAGACCATTCAAGCTGTTCAAGCAGCAGTCCTTTAGCGTGAAGCTGCTCCGCAGCGTTGATTCGGGCATGGGCTCTGCCGCAACCACTGCAAATGGCCTGACCCAAGTCAAGGGGTGAGACTACCAGAAAAGACCAGCAGACATTACCAGCCAGGCATGAGCCAGACTCGCGGAAACACACTCTAGACTCTTCCTAAACCTGCGCTCCGTTCATTCGTTTAGGAAGGTGATGATAGCATCCTCTCAAAGCCTAGGCAGTTGGGCCCCTGGCGTGGCTCTCAAACGATCCAGGGCCAACTTCTCCTTGGCCCAAACGTTCCCACACTGGCCCACTTGAATGACTTAATATGACCTAAACCTAACGTATAAAAATGACTGGAACTCCGCTGAGCGATTGTGCTACCAGGCCGGGTCTCAGTCCATAACCAAGAAGTAAGCATCAGGGTGGGAGGTGCTGTTTGGCACAAGTGGTACGCCCCTTCATCAACTCAGGCTCAAGCTCTCATACCGGTTGTTAACCGTGGCGCTGGGGTGGCCCTTGGCTGCTCTCCACACAATCTCGGACAATCGCAGACAGCATCAACGGCCACACCCCTCACTCGTTGACTGAATTTCACGCTGCTGTTTGGCATTGAAAATTGTTTCGATCATTTTGTTGTCATCATTGCTTGGGGCCTTCGGGGGCTACACACCACGAACATGTCGAATCAAAGAAAGATGTTAAATAAATGACTCGCACCCTCATTCCTTACCGAGAGCCTGATGCGTGTCACCATCTGAGCTGAGCACGGCTTTTGAATATCGGCCTGATGATTAAGTAAATCAGCCACTGAGGCCACTCAGGTGCATAATATGTTCAAGATTCGCAAAGAGGCTGACTCGCTGACCCTTTCCCCCTCTCTCCTCCTCTCTCCTCCGCTCTCCTCCTCTCTCCTCTCTTCTCCTCTCTCCTCCTTTACTCCTCCTTTACTCCTCCTTTACTCCTCCTCTCTTCTCCTCTCTTCTCCTCTCTTCTCTCTCTTCTCTCTCTTCTCTCCTCTGCTCTTCTCTCCTCTGCTCTTCTCTCCTCTGCTC